ACCAAAAAAAAGGGGCTCAAAGAAATATTTTCTGGAGAAGGGAATGACAACCCACTCCAGTATTCTTGCCTCCTCCCCCCAAAAAAGGGGCTCAAAGAAATATTTTCTGGAGAAGGGAATGACAACCCACTCCAGTATTCTTGCCTCCTCCCCCCAAAAAAGGGGCTCAAAGAAATATTTTCTGGAGAAGGAAATGGCAACCCACTCCAGTATTCTTGCCTGGAAAATCCCATTGACGAAAGTCTGGTGGGCTACAGACTATGGAGTCGCAAAGAGTCGGACACGACTGAGTGAATTCACTTTCACTTTAATTGAAGAAAACTGTATAAGAAAACTGATGTGCAATCTATTAATGTAACACAGTGGAAAATAACTAAAATGAATGAACTAGCAGAATGTATATGAATATGGACAAATTTAGAGATAGAGTTTTTAGTGCCCCAAAGCAAAATAAATAATAATATATATAATATATTCTATAAGTTTGAAAGTGAAAGTGAAGTCGCTTAGTCGTGTCCGACTCTTTGTGGCCCCATGGACTGTAGCCTACCAGGCTCCTCCCTCCATGGGATTCTCCAGGCAAGGATACTGGAGGGGGTTGCCATTTCCTTCTCCAGGGGATCTTCCCAACTCAGGGATCGAACCCCAGCCTCACGCATTCCATGCAGACAGTTTAAACCTCTGAGCCATGAGGGAAGCCCATTCTATAAGTTTAAAAATATTCAAAATGAAACAGTAGGGCTATATAATTGTACAATCTGAATGAAAACTCCAAATTCAGACTTCTGGATATCTCAGAGGAGGGATGGAGGGAAGTGAAAACAGGGAGGGAGGAACAATTAAAAGATTATAAGAGAGTTAAAACAAATTGGGCAAATGTTAAGGTGTCCTGAACCTGGGTGTGTTTATATTGATGAAATAAAGCTTACAACATTTTTCTTTGCACTTCTCAGTATGTTTGAATTCGTTAATAATAAAATAGATGATTTAAAAGAGAAGTTGCTATTATCCTTATCAAATAGTTTAGGTTGATTTTCTTTAACTTCATTTTACTGATAATTTATGTACTAATTAACATGTTCACAGCTAAGTGAGACAGCAGTGCATGACAGTTAAACCTCTTCTTATCCAATCTACTGTTTTACTGTTATATGGGTTGTTCCACTGAGAGTTGCTCAACCGTAAAGTTTGCCCTTGAGGACAAAAAAACCCTATATCTGATTGTATTCAATTTAAGTCATACTTTGTGTGCATAATCTTTTGCCAGCTGCCTCTCTCCATTTCTGCTGACTTTAGCACCCTCTTCAGACAATAGTTCTGAGCCTTTCTTTAAAAGCCCAGAAACTTGCTTTTACTGTCACATGACACAAGAGATTCTGTTTATAGGTGGATGACTTACTGGCAATTATTTTAATATCACTTATAAAAAGTCCTTTGTGTATCTATGTCTTCTGCTATCTTGGTAATGCCAATGCTGAGATGGAAAGACTCTGTTAAATTGTAAAAGCACCTCTGAATTCTATCCTCACCATAAAAATAATTGTTGGAAAGTTCCTGTAACAGAAACCAAAAGATAAAGAGTCCACCTGGAATATGTAGGTTTACCTGCTTATGAGTTATTGCAGTAAATCAGTTGAGGAATGTAACAATGAATTTTAGCAAAATGTAAGGTTGCTATATTTGTTTCATTTGGTGTCCGGTGATTCTATTACATTCTTTAATAGTTTAGAAACCTGGGTTTTAATATTCTCTTTATTTCCTTATTCTGGGTTTTTTAATCTCTAAACTATGGGGCAATAATACATTTTAGCAAAATGTAAGGTTGCTATATTTGTTTCATTTGGTGTCGGTGATTCTATTACATTCTTTAATAGTTTAGAAACCTGGGTTTTAATATTCTCTTTATTTCCTTATTCTGGGTCTTTTAATCTCTAAACTATGGGACAATAATAATAATACTAAGCTTTGGTTTCAGAAAGCTTTGTAGTGTTGTAATATCTCTGATTCTCTCATAATAGTTATCTTTCTTTTTTAAAAAGGAGAAATGAAGCAGAAATTTTAAAAAAAAGTGTTGTCTAGGCATTCATGAAGAATTTGGCTGTCTGGACTTTTCATTTCATTATACACACTAAATTACTCTCTTATTTGGGCAAATTTTAACAGGTTTTAAACTATTAAGTAAGATCCCCCTCTTCCCTGAAGAAAAGATTTTGAGACTTAATTGCTATAGGTTTAATAATACAGAAGTCCTATCTAATATATATTTTTAAAACCCTTGAAAACTCATGTACCATTTCATTCACACAGACTCATTCCTGGAAAAAATTTTAATCATCTGGATCTATATTTCAGAGAAGTGCAAATATCTCAATATAAACCATATTAACATAACATTTTATCACTTTGGAGAAAGGCAACCCTAATCCATAAATTCAGAAACAAAAAAAATCAAGTCGTCTGCCCTTATAGAAACAACCATTTGAGGTAGGGTTTTCAAGGTGGCAAAAACTCAAAAGTTGAGCCAGATGTTTCAATAACCTAGGCTGATTTTGGGGTCTTTGTAGTGAAACAAAAATCAGGTAAATTTTTCATGACTTGAGGTTTCATTACGATCTTTGCTGCCTCCAATTACTGACAGCTGTTACTCAATCACACATCATGTTATAAATTCTTACCTTCTGTTCCACAATCAAAATCAGTGCCACAGGAGAGGAAATGAAAGAGAATCTACTTTACATCTAGGCCTGTTTCAACCAGGGCCTCATGCCATTAAATGAATATTAATTTCCCATCAAATGAAATCGATATTCAGTAAGTTAATACTCATGAGAGAAGCTATAATTTGGAAATTATTTATAAGTGTAAAGCCTTGGAAATGATGAATGGTGCCCTTTCCAGTGCCATGAAAGTGAAAGTCGCTCAGTAATGTCCGACTCTGTGATCTCATGGGCTGTAGCCTGCCAGGCTCCTCTGTCCATGGAATTCTCCAGGCCAGAATGCTGGAGTGGGTAGCCCTTCTCTTTTTAGGGGATCTTCCTGACCCAGGGATCGAACCCAGGTCTCCCACATTACAGGCAGATTCGTTACTGTCTGAGCCACAGGGAAGTCCAAGAATACTGGAGTGGGGAGCCTAACCCCTCTCCAGGGATCTTCCTAACCCAGATGTCGAACCCAGGTCCCCCACACTGCAGACAGCTTCTTTACCAGCTGAGCTACCAGGGAAGCCCCTTCCAGTGCCATATAGGAGTTAATTTGATTTCTTTTTTCAAATTTCAAGTAATGTAAGATGTGGTTAATTATATATTGGTACTATGATATACAAACATATTGTGTATATAGGTGTGTGTGTATGTATACATATATGTATATGTAAATGAATACAGACACTCTAAAGAGAAAGCAATAACCCACCTACTTGAGACAAGCAAATTCTGAGAGAAAAAATAGTCAAATATAATAGAGAAATAGAGGCAGGACTTTCCTTACTTCCAGAGTCATACTTTTCCAGTTCTAAGGAATCGATAGTTTTATTAAGATGCCATCATGGAGATCCTCTGGAGACGGGAAAGGCTACCCACTCCAGTATTCTGGCCTGGAGAATTCCATGGACTGGGTCACAAAGAGTTGGACACGACTGAGTGACTTTCACTTTCACAGAGATTAGGCTGAATAGTCAAAGTACTTCTTTATATATGAAGATCCCTAGGGATATTTCATTTGGCTTTTGTTATGGTAAATATCTTAGTTTTAGAGAGAGTAATGTGGGAAGTTAACTGCCTTTATGGCCCTTGTTATGATCCACCTTTAGGTGCTCATGTCCAAGGCCCACATGAAGTCATGTGCTGGGAATAGAAGCAATGATCATGTTGAACATTTGCATTCAATAGTGCGTGCTTGCTCAGTTGTGTCTGACTCTATGCGACCCCATGGACTACGGCCTGCCATGCTCCTCTCTCAATGGGGTTCTTCAGACAAGAATACTGGAGCGGGTTTCCATTTCCTTCTCTAAGGGATCCTCCCCAGCTGGGGATTGAACCTGTGCCCCCTGTGTCTCTTGCATTACAGGCAGATTGTTTACTACTTGAGCCATCAGGGAATCATTCAGAGGCATCGTATTTCAGAGTGATTGAATTGGCAGTCTCATGTTTTTCTCAGCCCATCTTTGTGTCAAGGTATAGGCTAGAGGCTTCCTACCTAGTATTTGTACAAATCCTCTGACTGTCACCTTAGGTGATAATACAGGATTAGTGAATCTCAAGAAGTCTTGGAGGCCACCCCACAGATGTCAAGGTGTGAGGATAAGCGTTACCCACAGGATTCTTCAATACATTGCCTCTTGATGAAACATGTCCTTGCTGGAGCCAGATGCAATCTGCCCTTTGGAACTCTCAGTTTTAGAGAAAGAGCTACTGTAATAGGGAGAGCTATGCTGTTTTCAAATAAAAATGTTTTCTTTACTACAGTAAAGGACTGTTGTCAATGAAATAAGCTTCCCTTGGGGCCTTGATGACACTGATCTATGATGAGGAGTGATTTGCTGCTGTCTGTGTTACTAGTGAAAATCTACTTGTGGGCCTTGACTGTCTCCTTATCCATCCATCCAGTTAAAACTATAAGTGTCCTCATGCAGGGACAGAGGCCCTGTAGGTAACCCCAAGTCTGATCCCTGATGTTATGACCACACCACTGACCATGTAAGACTGGTATCCTAGCCCTTCCCAAACCGTGAAACTCTAAGCAGAAGGCTAACTGAAGGAGGCATGTCTTGTTTATGTACTGTAGCTGTGGTTTTCTGGAAATCACTCTGGGCTTCTCTGGTAGCTTAGATGGTAAAAAAAAAAAAATCTGCCTGCAGTGCAGGCGACCTGGGTTTGATTCCTGGGTCTGAAAGATCTCCTGGTGAAGGGAATGGCTACCCACTTCAGTATTCCTGTCTGGAGAATTCCATGGCAGAAGAGCATGGTGGACTACAGTCCATGAGGTCACAAAGAGTCAGACATGATTGAATGAAGAACATCACTCTAGGTAAATCAAACTTAAAAGTATTTTGTTCTTATTGCGAACAATCTTTAAAAAATTTTTTTTTTAATTGAAGGATAATTGCTTTACAGAATTTTGTTGTTTTCTGTCAAACCTCATAATGAATCAGCCATAGGTATACATACATCCCCTCCCTTTTGAAACTTCCTCCCTTCTCCTACCCCATCCCACCCTGGTAGATTGATACAGAGCCCCTGTTTGAGTTTCCTGAGCCATACAACAAATTCCCATTGGCTATCTATTTTACATATGGTAATGTAAGTTTCTGTGTTACTTTTTCCATACATCTCACCCTCTCCTCATGTCCATAAGCCTATTTTCTATGTCTGTTTCTCCATTGCTGTCTGGTAAATAAATTCTTCAGTATCATTTTTCTAGATTCCGTATATATGCATTAGTAAGTAAGTAAGTAAAGTTGCTCAGTCGTGTCCAACTCTTTGTGACCCTTTGGATCGTAGCCTACCAGGCTTCTCCATCTATGGGATTTTCCAGGCAAGAGTACTGGAGTGGGTTGTCATTTCCTTCTCCAGGGGATCTTCCTGACCCAGGGATCGAACCCAGGTCTCCAGCATTGCAGGCAGACGCTTTACCATCTGAGCCACCAGGGAAGCCCATATATGCATACATATACAGAGTGACTTCACTCTGTATAATAGGTTTTAGGTTCATCCACCTCATCAGAACTGACTCAAATGTGTTGCTTTTTATGGCTGAGTAATATTCCATTGTGTATATATGTACCACAACTTCTTTATCCATTCATCTGTTGATGGACGTCTAGAAAACTACATGCCAATATCACTGATGAGCATAGATGCAAAAATCATCAACAAAATTTTAGCAAACAGAATTCAGCAACATATCAAAAAGCTCATACACCATGATCAAGTTGGGTTTATTCCAGGAATGCAAGGATTCTTCAATATACACAAATCAATCAATGTGATACACCATATTAACAAATTGAAAGGTAAAAACCATATGATAATCTCAATAGATGCAGATAAAGCCTTTGACAAAATTCAGCACCCATTTATGATTAAAACTCTTCAAAAAATGGTCATAGAAGGAACTTACCTCAACATAGCAAAGGCCATATATGATAAGCCTACAGCAAACATTATTCTCAATGGTGAAAAACTGAAAACATTCTCCCTAAGATCTGGAACAAGACAAGGGTGTCCACTTTTTTTTTTGTTAATCATACTCAATGTTACAGATCACTTGAGTAGCTTTGCCTAGCTTAAAGAAAAATCATTTTCTTGGGATGAAGTTAAGCATTTCTGTCTTTATTTCTGTGATACGTAAATCTTTCCCAGTTCATCTGAGAAAGCATTAGCTCCGTGGTCTATGCCCATTCTCAAGGAAACACTTTCTAGTAAGTCCATGGCCATCCAGGTAGAAATAGGACAACTGATAAGAAATCAGATTTCAAGTTTAATCCACAGTGATATGAGAAAGAATGTGTGGAGTAACCAAACACCATCAAAGAGCAAACAAACAATTTTTGGAATAAGGAGTAATTTGACTTTGGTGCATCAGAAGCAGTCATGTAGGATAGGATTTATTTGTAACAGGCAATTGTCTTTTGGATGGGTATTTTTGACACTTGGTCCTACTATACAGTAAAACTAAATAAAGAGCTTTAAAAAATTCATTGAAAGTGTCCTCCCCAGAACATACAGAATCAACATCTCTATAGTTGAGACTCAGAAATTTGTGTTTTAAAATACTACTCTGATGATTTTGACACCTAGCCAAATTTGGGAACCCACTGACTAAACACTGAATATAGACGATAATCTCATTTTCATCAAAACTCAAGGATTATAAAACAATTCTCATCACAACCCTAAGAAAATATTTCCTAGAAGTCAGTTGCATTAGAGTAGTTGTATCTCTTGGGTTTCTAGAATGCACATGGATTTACATGCGTGCTAAGCTGTTTCAGTTGTATCTGACTCTTTGAGACTCTTATGGACTGGAGCCTGCCAGGCTCCTCTGTCCATGGGATTCTCCAGGCAAGAATACTGGAGTGAATTCCCATTTTCTTCTCCAGGGGATCTTCCCAACCCAGGGATCAAACCCACATTTCTTATGTCTCCTGCATTGGCAGGTGGGTTCTTCACCATTAATGCCACCTGGGAAGCCCATACATGGACTCAAGTTAGAATAATTAGGAGATTAATCACATTCTTTCCACTTAAAAATTAATTTTTATTAATCACAGAAAAATTTAAATGTATCAGCAATAGAGATAGCAGTTAAAATAACACTAGCAGGCATCAACACTTACAGAGTGCTTACTTTGTGCCAATAATACACTCAAAGAACCTCAAGGATCAGAAGTGCCACAGGGGAGAATTCAAAAAACAGCAAGAGAATCTGGATTTGTCCAGATAAATTATTGCCTTATCTATTCCTGATTATATATATCATTTTTACTTGAGTCTATTAGTGAGATGTTTTTAACAATAGAATTCTGCTGTAAAATTCTTTTCCATATACTTACATTAGTTCTAAGTAATGGTTTATTCATGCTTGATTAGCTTAAAGGAAGTAGTATTAGTCCCTCAGTCATGTCTGACTCTTTGTTGCTCCTTGGACTGTAGCCCACCAGGCTCCACTGTCCATGGAATTCTCCATGCGAGAATACTGGAGCGGGTTGCCATTCCCTTCCCCAGGGGATCTTCCCACCCAGGGATTGAACCCAGGTCTCCTGCACTATAGGCAGATTCTTTACCATCTGAGCCACCAAGGAAGCCCTTAAACTCCTTACAAATTATGAAGAACTCCAACAGGTCATTATTACAGAGAGTTATTTAACTGTAGGTAAGTTCTCTGGCAGTTTAATAATGTACAGATGTCTGTATATAGAGAAGCAGATATGAATGCTTCTTACAAAACAGTTGCTGATCAGTGTCCATTACCAATTCAGCGTGCTGCATTTAATATGGCTAAAGCATCCTTTTCATGGTCCCCAAGGAGTAGCTGCATTTCCACCTGTTCCCTTCCATCCCTCAGAAACATCAAGAGTTTTGAAACGTCTCTTGCGTAGTTCCAAAAGGATTACCTATAGGTAAGGAGGATTAAAGACCTCAACCTTTGTGTCCTATGCTTAAAAAGTATGACTTGATGTATAATCATTTGCCATTATGTCATTTACTTTCACAATATTCCAAAGAAATAAGGAATGACACAGAGGATGATGAAGACATTGAAGATAACAATAATGATGACAATGACTGGAAAAGGGATAGGGAGAGAGGGAAGAAGAAAAGGATAATGATAGAGAAAAAAAAGAAAAGATGAGCAGAATGTAAGAACTTTAATTTATTGACTGGTTATTATGAGCCAGGTTCAAAGCTAAGCATGTTACATAATCTATCAGCTAGGTACTAGATTACTCCTTCTACTATATGCAAAACTATTTATACCATTTGTTTAAATCAAAAAATAAAAAGAGAGATGCTAGAACTGAAACCTAGATCTGCTCAATTCTCTAGTAAAAGTTTATGAAAATCATATATTTTTGAAAAAATTGATGAATAGAAATCGTTATAATAGAAATCATTATAAATCATATATCAATAAGAGTCAGGTCTCAGGTGGCACAAAGGAATTCCAGATATCTGCAAATATCTTCTCCTATGACATTTAATGACAAAGGAAATGAATAACTTCCTTGATAAATATTCATTTAACTGCACAACCAGAAGAATGAGTGTATGTCTACTTAATTGAAAATTTTAATCCCATGAACAAAAAAATATTATATTTTATATTTTCATCATGTAACATTAAAAATGTTAACATTAAAAAACAAGATTGTGAGACATAGATTTCATTATGCTATGTGGAAAGGCAGTACAATTTCCAGTTAAAAAATGAAAAGAGTATCAATATTACAGCCTATTGAGTGATGATCTTAATTTTTAAAAATAGTACAAATATTTAAATGTTAAATATTTTACAGAGGCTGTAGTTACAAAGTTTTGTGTTTTTCATACCTGAAGAGCTAGATATATTTATTAGGTTTGCATTGAACACATATTAAAAAAAAGAGATCTGAGATTCATTTAAGAATCAGTTTTTCCGAAAAGCATCTCTCTAGTACAGATTAGCCTTTCTCCCCCTTCAAATAGTTCTAGTATGGCATCATTAAAAAGTAATGGATCTTATGTTCAAATTTGTATTTCTTAATTACCATTAAAACCCCAGTTTACTGACTGTCCTTAGAGTCCACAGATACAATTGTATGTGCTGCCTAGAAATGACGCATGTGCTGTCAAATTTCCTATCCTGGATTTTCTTTCCTTCAGAATGAGAAAGAGAAGTACATAGTTTGGCAGAGAGAGAAAAATGATAATTCTGTTGCCTAAGAGGCAAATGTTTTAGTGATGAGCAAAATGAAAAGCATTATAAATTCCAAGTGACATGTGATGCTGTTCTAAGTGTGGGAGGTAAGAATATCTGGGGAAAGGAATTGTTTGCGGAGGATGGGTGGGTCTGAATAAGTGGGAGTTCTTTCCAGAAAACTAAGGTGGACAGATGGAGTTTGGGTTAGGAGCATGACTTGGGTTGAAATGTGCATCTAGAAAAATCCACTGTTCCTCTTATTTCTCATTTTCCTGATTCACTCCCTAATCTTGTTTTCTGTATGTTTTTTTCCATTGTTTTTCCCTCCTCCCCTTTTCTTTGAGACATGTTTTACTTTTTAAAAATAAATTATGCCTTAATTACTTGGTTATGTGACTTCTTTTTTGAAATACAAATGCAAGCTGAGGCACCTCTGTCTCACACAGGTAGATGATGCTACAGGTCCACGTGACAGAACACTGAAGGCTGGACAAACTGGAGAGTCTTATCTTCCTATGGGCTTCACTCAAGATTAGCAGATTTCTGAGTCAACGTGGTAAATGGGTCTGTTCTGAATTGTATATCCAAAGTGGTATAGGTAAGCTTGAAATTCAAAGAGATATACCTATGGTGAAGTTTTCAAATATGATTTTTTTTTAACCCCGAAGTAAATTACCTTACATGTGTGAGCTACTGGAAAACTAATAACTTTACAAAAGTATCAGGTTCCAGGATTTATCATCTTATTCATAAACATAATGTACAAAGTCATCCATGGTTCCTGATCATTTTGAGTTGCCAGGTTCTATTAGAATAATTTCCTTTCTTTAGTGTTTGAAAGATCCTTAAATGAATAATAGGTCCTGAGATCGTGTTGGTTTGTAATTGGAGTAAACAGCTGAGTAAGTTCATAATAACTCACTGACATATACTAAGAATAATCACCAATTGTATTAGCCAGCAGGTACTTTAAATGAGTATGTAACAAGAATACTAATCCATGCATATTTTAAAGTTTTGGTGACGGCATTAATTACTGATTCCCCCAAGAGTATAATGTTGTTTTTTAGCTTACAGTTTTGAAAGATATATAAATTCCAACCACTTTCAGTGGTCAAAATTGCTCTCACTCCATGACGTGAAAAGGCAACATGGGGACTTGCCAATTTTTAAAAATATCTGTTTTAGAGAAGTTTTTGTTCCTGGCTACTAAGTATGATCAATGTGTAACAAAGGCTGGATCTAGCCTCCTAAGAGAAACAAATAACTGGACAAAATGAATGAAACAATGCTTTTCAAGATATTGGATTTTAGGCAATGGAGGATAGTGACTTGAGATAGGAGAAAAAGAGGATGAAGTGAGCTCTAAATTGTCTAAGTTTACCATCTTGAGGGAGTTTCCAGGTCACAGAGCAAGAAAAAACCCAGGTAGGACTTGGCAGGCTCCCTGAGTAGAGGAGACGGATCCAATAGTCCAGGGAGAACAAAGTAGCTGAGTTCATAAGACAGTGTTGAGATAATAGAGCTGCACAGAGAGAGAACTTCAGAGATCTGTCAAGGGGATCCCACAAGTGTTCATCAGAGGGCTGATCAGTGAAAGCATGTGAAAAATGACCTGAGCTGTGGAAATGAACCACCTAAAAGGATTAGAATAGAGAAACCTGAGCTTGCCAAGCTTTGGGAATAAAACCCTATTTCCATCAGTCAGACTGGAAACCCTCATAAGTCACTGAACATTTGGTAGTGTATTCAGAAGAATCTTAACCTCAGTGGTAGGAAATAATTAGCCATGGACTAAGCACTACTCCAGACCCACCTAGCAAATCTTAAATGTAAGACTCAAAAGTCTCCAACTGTTTCTCAGTAGCATGACTGTCTCCCAGAACAAAGGTTGAGAATATAGTATGATAAAAATATCTAGTACCCAACAAGGTAAAATCGACAATGTCTAATGTCCAATAAAAATGATCAGGCATGAAAACATGCAGGAAAATGCAACTCATAATGAGGAAAATAAATCGATTGAAACTGATCCAGATGTTAGAATTGGCAGACAGGGACACTAAAACAGTTATTACAACTGTATTCCATATGTTCTAAAAGCTAGAGGAAAAGTTGAATATGTTAAGTAGTGAGAGAAAAGATATCAAAATATAGCCAGGCTTCAAGAGGTGAAAATACAATGGCTGAGATGAAAAAGGCATTGAACGTTATTAACAGCAGACTATTTATTACAGAAGAAATAATTGGTGAACTTGAAGATATGGCAGCAGATACACAAAATGAAAGGCACAGGGAAAAATACATAATTTTAAAAATGAACAAGATATTAGTGAACTTTGGGATAACTCTGAAATCTCAATTATAATTGCAGTTGGAAGCAGGGAGTTTGGCTGAGATGGCAGAAAAGGAGTAGTGAAAAAAAATATTTGAGAAACAATGATATGAAAATTACCAGGTTGATTAAACTATAAACCCACAGTTCCAAAAATCTCAACAAACTCCAGGTTCAAGCAAAATGAAAAAATACACACATAAATACGCACACACATATTATCTATGTATATATACATATGTATTATATATGTATATGTATTTTATAAAGGTATATTATAATTAATTTGATCCAAACCAGTGAGTAAGGGAAAATTGTACAGCCAGTTATATGTGCCTAAACGAAATGATGTTAAATAGCAAGACACACATATGTTAATAGTAAAAGGACCAAAAATTCTATGCCATGCTAACATTAATCAAAGGAAAGCTGTAGTGGCTGTATTAATAACAAATATAGTACATTTCAGAAAAATAATATTTCCAGGGATTAAAGACCTTCATTTCATAGTGATAAAGGGGTGTCATAACAAACCTAAATGTTTATATACCTAATAATAGAGCATTAAAATACATGAAAGTAAAATTGACATAATGTCAAGGAGAAGTAGAAAACTCTGTAAATAGAGTAAGAAATTTTAACAGCTCTGTCTCAAAAATTAAAAAGGAGATAGAAAATCAGTGATCATATATTGAACTTGAGCAATAATATTAAACAGATTAACTTAATTGACATAATAGAATACTTGATCCAAAACCAAAAAAATACACTTTAGATCCTCATGGAAAATTTATAGAATAATCTATAAATAAGTATTAGTAAGTATTAGTCACTCAGTCGTGCCTGACTCTTTGCGACCCCATGGACTGCAGCCCACCAAGCTCCACTGTCCATGAGATTTTTCCAGGCAAGGATACTGGAGTGGGTTGCCATTTCCTTCTCCAGGGGATCTTCCCAGCCCAGGATTTGAACCCGGGTCTCCGCCATGCAGGCAGATTCTTTACTGAGTGAGCTACAAGGAAAGCATAATCTATATCATGGGCTATAAAACAAATCTCAATAAATTTCAAAAAATTTGGGTTAATTTAGTATAATTTCTGATTAAAATGAAATTAGAAATAATTAACAGAAAGATTTCTGGAAAATCTGGGATGTTTGAAAATTATATAACAAACTTCTAAATAAGCCATATTTCAAATCTCTTTTAATTTGAATAGGATTTAAAAAGAAATATCAAAATTGTGGATTGTTGCTTATTCAGTACTTAGTACTGGAAGCAGTAAATGCATGTATTATTTTTTTAAAAGTTGTCTCAAAGTAATGACCACATCTTCAACATTAAGAATCTAGAAAATAAGAGTAAATGAAAGCTAATGTAAAAAAAAAATGAAAGAAATTAATAAAGAGCAGAGTGTTTTAAAATTGTTTAATTTTAAAATAGAGAAAATAAAATAAATAATAAAAATAATAAAACTGAAAGATTCTTAATTAAAAATTCAAAACAACTTTATGCAAAGAAATTTGACAAACAGAAAAATAAAAAATTTTGGAAATGAAGAAGAAATATATTTCTTGAGCAACTTGATTCTCTTTTTTTAAATTTATTTTTTAATTTTAGGAAAATTGTTTTACGGTGTTGTGTTGGTTTCTGCCACACAACAATGCAGATCAGTCATAATTATACACATATCCTCTCCTTCATGAGCCTCCCTCCCCTCTCCCCATCCCATCCTTCTAGGTCATCACTGAACGTGAGGCTGACTTCCTTGTGGTATACTGCAGGTATCCATTAGCTATCTAGTTTACACAGGATAGTCTATATATGTCAAGGCTACTTTCTCCATTTGTCCCACTCTCTCCTACACGCCCTGTGTCCACAAGTCTGATATCCATATTTGTGTCTTTATTCCTTCCTTGCAAAGAGCTTCATCAATACCATTTTTCTAGATTCCATATGTATGTGTTAATATATGATATTTGTTTTCCCTTTCTGACTTTCTTCACTCTGTGTAACAGGCTCTAGATTCATCCACCTTACCAGAACTGACCCAAATTCATTGTTTTTATGGCTGAATAATATCCATCATGTATATGTACCACATCTTTATCCATTCATCTGTCAGCGGACATCTAGGTTGCTTCCATGTCCCAGCTATCACAAATAGTGCTGCTATGAACATTTGGGTACATGTGTCTTTTTTAATTATGGTTTTCTCAGGGTACATGCCCAGTAGTAGGATTGGTCATATACTAGTAAAAAGCAGAGACATTACTTTGCCAACAAAGTCCGTCTAGTCAAGGCTATGGTTTTTCCAGTGGTCATGTATGGATGTGAGAGTTGGACTGTGAAGAAAGCTGAGCACCAAAGAATTGATGCTTTTGAACTATGGTGTTGGAGAACATTCTTGAGAGTCCCGTGGACTGCAAGGAGATCCAACCAGCCCATCCAAAGGAGATCAGCCCTGGGTGATCATTGGAAGGACTGATGCTAAAGCTGAAACTCAAACACTTTGGCCACCTCATGTGAAGAGTTGACTCGTTGGAAAAGACCCTGATGCTGGGAGGGATTGGGGGCAGGAGGAGAAGGGGACGACAGAAGATGAGATGGCTGGATGTCATCACCGACTCAATGGACATGAGTTTGAGTAAACTCCGGGAGTTGGTGATGGACAGGGAAGCCTGGCGTGCTGTGATTCATGGGGTCGCAAAGAGTCGGACATGACTGAACAACTGAACTGAACTGATATTAGTTTTACTCCTAGTTCTTTAAGTAATCTCCATATTGTTTTCCATATTGGCTGTATCAATTTACATTCCCACCAACAGTGCAAGAGGGTTCCCTTTTCTCCACATCCTCAGCATTTATTGCTTGCAGATATTTTTGATCATGTTGTGAGGTGATACCTCAGTGTAGTTTTGATTTTTATTTCTCTAATAATTAATGATGTTAGGCATCTTTTCATGTGTTTATTGGCCATCTGTTCATGATATCTTTGAGGAAATTGACTCTGTAGTTAAAGCATTACAAAAAAGAAAACCTCCAAAACCTCCAAAGAAGGACTGTACTGACAATTTAAAACAAAAAATTAAGGACAATATAATACCAATTCTACACAAACTTCTCCAGTAAATTGTAGAGGGAAGACTATTTCCTAACTCACTTTATGGGGCCAACATTACTTTGCTATCAAAACCAACAACGAAGCAAGAATAGAAACTGAAACTAATATCCTTATAAATACGTGGATACCAAACTTATAAAA